GTGATCAGCACAAACTTCTCCTCCAGGCCGGGCACCGTCTGCCGCTCACGGTGCCATCGCCGCAGCAGCCACAGCCCCAGCAGCGCCAGCAGCCACAGCCACATCCTGACCGGGGGCAGCAGCAGCAGCAGCAGCACGAAAAGGAGAAGGAGGAAGAGCAGGAGGAGGTGGAGGTGGCCGGGACTCGCTGAGCACAGCGGGGACACCGCAGCAAAGTGCAGAGCAGTCCCGAGCGACGCCTCCGGCCTCTGCTGACCTTGGACCTGCCCAACCCTGCGGGGCCGGTCCGGGAGCAGCGTCGTGCCAGCTCAGCTGAACACGGGGCCGGGCAGAGGCTCAGCCCGTCCTCCTGCGTTCCATGCAGAGCAGCCAAGCTGCAGCCGGATCGATGCGCTGCGCTCCCCGTCCCGTATCGCCCGCCGTGCCGAGCTCCGTGCAGTTTTACGGCGTTTGCAGACGCTGCTCACACCCATGTTCTCTCGCAGGGACCCGCGTGAGCCGCGCACTCAGAGCTTTGGGTCCCATCCGCGGCCCCCGGCCTCTCGCTCGGCCCCTCGGCAAAGCCGCCCCTGGTTGGCACGGAGCCGAGCGCGTCCATCCCGCCGCCCTCGGGCCACCGCGCGGCTGCTGCCCCACATGAGCGGGGCGCCGAAGGGGCTCCTCTCCCGGCGCTCGGGGCGGGACGAGGTCGGGACGCAGCGGGAGGAGGCACCGGCAGGGCAGAGACCGGGTCGGTGCCGGGGCTGAGCCCCGCGGGGCTCCCCGTCTTTCTGCTCCGGTGCCTCGACGGCCGGCGCCGCGCCGAGCAGCGCCATGCCGTTCCGGGCGGGGCCGCACTACATCTCCCAGCGACCCGCGGGTTCCTTCGGCCCCTCCGCTTCCCTCCGCTTCCCGCCATGGCGCCGTTCGAACCGGCGGCGCTGCCGGAGCTGCTCCCGGTGTTCTACCGCCGGCTCTTCCCGCACGGCGCCTACGGCCGCTGGCTCGGCTACGGCGGCGGTGAGCGGCGGAACCGGGCTGCACGCGGCGGGGCGCGGGGAGGCGAGTGCGGGGCTGAGACCGCGCACCGGCGGGATCCGCGTGCCCCCCCAACCTCCCCAACCCACCCCGCACCCCCGCAGTGGAGAAGAACTACTTCCAGCTGCGGGAGTTCTCCTTCACGCTGCGGGACGACGTGTACGTGCGGTTCCAGTCGTTCGGCAGCCCGCAGGAGCTGGAGAAGGAGCTGCAGAGGACCAACCCGTACAAGATCGACATCGGCGCCGTATATTCGCATCGCGTGCGTCCCCCCCTTCCCCCGCCCCCGAACTCCCCGGTGGTTGCGGGAGGACGACGGGGTGACCCCTCTGCTCCCCGCAGCCCAACCAGCACAACACGGTGCACCTCGGGGCGTTCCAACCCGTGGAGAAGGAGCTGGTGTTCGACATCGATATGACCGACTACGATGACGTCCGGACGTGCTGCAGGTTCCCGGGGGGGCTGAGGGCTGCGGGTTCCCGGGGGGGGCTGGGGGGGCTGCAGCCCCGTAGAGCCGGGATGGCGCCCGCCTGACTGCTGTGCTCTGCCCGCAGCTCGGCCGACATCTGCTCCAAGTGCTGGACTCTGATGACCATCGCTGTCCGTGTGATTGACCGCGCGCTCGTGGGTGAGAGATGCGGGGAAGCACGCAGCCTCTGCGCACTGGGACCCCGCTGCCCTTCGTAGTGATGCCTTGAAGTGGGTCTAGGGGAGCGCTGCTGTGGGGCTGGAGCAGGAGCAGAGGGCAGGCAGATGCCCGGCGTGCTCCCCCAGCCCCTCTGTGCCCCATAGAGGACCTGGGCATGAAGCACCGCCTGTGGGTGTACTCGGGACGGAGAGGTGTGCACTGCTGGGTCTGCGACGACGCCGTGCGCAAATGGTCCCCGGCGCTGCGTGCGGCCGCTGTGGAGTACCTGAGCCTGGTGAAGGTGGGCGCATGGGGGGAAGGGTTGTGCTGCCCACCTCCTTGGGCTGACCACGCTGTCCTTGCCAGGGTGGAGCTGAGACGGTGAAGAAGGTGAACCTCTCGGAGCCCGTCCACCCCTTCATCAGGTGGGTGCAGATGTGCTGCCCGGTGCGGAGCCGATGGCCGTGGGGTGCTGAGCTCCATCTGCTCCGCAGGCGGTCGGTGAACGTGGTGGAGAAGTACTTCGAGGCGTACGCACTGCAGGGCCAGGACGTCTTGGGCAGCCCCGAGCGCTGGGACAAAGTGCTGGCCTTGGTCCCAGAAGGTATCCTTCCAGCTGCTCTGCTCAGGGTGGGCAGCGGGGTTCGCGTTGGCTGTGATCGGCCTTAACAGCTGGCAGAGCACCGTGAGCTGCTGCAGAGCGAGTTCCCCAAGAAGCGCGACTCAGTGCAGCGCTGGGAGCTGCTGAAGGGCCGCATGGAGCGGACACGGGTGAGTGGCTGTGGGGCGGTTCTGGGTGGCTGTGGGGTGGCTGTGGGGCAGTGCTGCTCCCTGACTGCCTGTACCCACAGCGGGCAGCAGGCAGTGGGAAGGGCACAGCGTGCTATGCAGACTGGGAGATCATGCTGCAGTACTGCTTCCCACGGCTCGACATCAACGTCAGCAAAGGCATCGGGCACCTCCTGAAGAGCCCCTTCAGCGTCCACCCCAAAACAGGTGGGTCTCTGTACCCCAAATTGGGGGTTCCGGCTGTTTGTGGGGTCAGCAGCCCATGCGGGGCACCCTGGGCAGCAGTTCCATCTCTTGCAGGCCGCATCTCGGTGCCACTGGATCTGCAGAGGTTGGATGACTTCGACCCGTTCGCAGTGCCCACCATCAGGTCTGCACATCAGGCTGGTGGCGGGGGATCCCCAGCTGTGGGCAGCCCCCCACATGCCGCCCTTCCCTGCAGCTCTCTGTGCGAGGAGCTGGATGCGGCTGGCGATGATGCAGAGCAGGAGGACAGCGAGGAGACGGAGCCAAAGCGGCGGATGCGGGGTGAGCGGGGCCGGGGGGCAGCAGGGGGGGTTAATTGCAGGCGTGGGCAGGCCGGGTGGGGGTCCAGGCCCACCCCCCTTCACCCCCTCTCCTCAGACTACCGGCGGACGCAGCTGGCGCCCTACGTGAAGGCCTTCGAGCAGTTCCTGGAGGAGATGGAGCGCGCGCGGCGCGGGGAGCGGCTGTGGAGGAGCGGTGAGCGCTGGGGATCCCACCGCTCCCAGCTGCTCTTCATTGCTTATTGAAAACCTAATGAGGTTCAGTAAGGCCAAGTGCAGGGTGCTGCGTTTGGGTCAGGGCCATCCCAGGTATTCACACAGACTGGGGAAAGATCTTGAGAGCAGAGAAGGACTTGGGGGTCCTGGTAGACGAGAAGCTGGACACGAGGCAGCAGCGTGCGCCTGCAGCCAGCTGTGTTCTGGGCTGCGTTAAAAAAGTCGTCTCCCTCTATGGGCTCTGGTGAGGCACCATCTGCAGCACTGCGTCCAGGCCTGGGGCCCTCAGCACAGGAAGGACGTGGAGCTCTGGGAGCGGGTCCAGAGGAGGCACTGAGATGAGCAGAGGGCTGGAGCAGCTCTGCTGTGAGGAAAGGTTGAGGGAACTGGGGCTTGTTTAGCTGGGAGAAGAGAAGGCTGCGGGGAGACCTTGTGGTGGCCTTCCAGCACTTGAAGGGAGAGGATAAACAGGAGGGGGAACGGCTGTTGGTGAGGGTGGGTGCTGACAGGACAGGGGGGAATGGTTTTAAAGTGAGACAAGGGAGGTTGAGGTTGGATATGAGGAGGAAGTTTTTCCCCCAGAGGGCGGTGAAGCACTGGAACAGGTTGCCCAAGGAGGCTGTGGATGCCCCAGCCCTGCAGGCATTCAAGGCCGGGCTGGATGTGGCTCTGGGCAGCCTGGGCTGCTGGTTGGCAACCTGCACACAGCAGGGGGTTGGAGCTGGAGGAGTGCTGTGGGCCTTTGCAACCCAGGCCATTCCATGATTCTATGATTCTATGATCATATGATCTCTAAAACCCCATTTCTGCTCTTTCCCAGACCTGCAGGGAGAGTTCTGACCACGCTGCCCGCAGCCCCTGCCCCTGGGAGGCCGTTGATTGACCTTGATTGACGTCTGCTGCTGCTGTGGGGCAGGGAGACTGACCCCCCCCCCCCCCCCGGTTCCCTTCTCACTTCTTTTTATGCTTTTTGTACTTTTTGTACCCAAAATCCATTAAAGGGCGCTGCTCAGCCCCGTGTCCGTGTCCCTGGGGGGCAGAAGGGATGGGGCTCCAGCGGGATAAAACTCGGAGCGGGGCAAAATTCCCGTTCTCGTGCCCCGGAACGTCCGAACGCGGCCCGGAACGCCCGAGCGCAGCCGGCGGGGCGGGCGGGCGGAAGTCGCCGCGCCTCTCCCCCGGAAGTGATTCTCTTTCCGGAAGTCGCGCCTTCCGCCGCTTGGTCTCTTTCCGCCGCCATCTTGGGCTCCGCTTCCCGTACAGTGAGTGTCGCCGCCGCCATCCACCTCCATCCGCCACCGCGTGGGGCCGGGAGTGCGGCCGGGACGGGAGGGAATGCGGGAGGGCGGCGGCGGAGCGGTCGGGGCCCTCGGTGGGGCCAGGGCAGCTCCGAGAGGGCAACGCCGGGGCGGCCCCGCGGGGACGGCTCCGCGCGGCGGGGGGAGGCGGCTGAGGCCGCGGCCGGGCAGGGGGGAGGCGGAAGAGCCGCGTAGGCCGCTGCCGGTCCGAGCCATGGGGTGGCGTGGGATCCGCTCCCGTCTGCTCTGTGCTGGGTCCGCGCTGTTGTTACCGGCGCGGGCAGCAGCCGGGCGGCCCTCGGTACCGGTTGATCTCCGAGCCCCCGGTGTGCGGTGGCGTTGGGTAAGGCCCATTGCCGGCATCTGAAGGCGGCCCTTCGGGGACTTCTCGGGGCGGCCGCGAGTCCGGTGTGTTTTTTTTTCCCCCTTGTTCACGCAGAAATGCCTGGCGAAGCTACAGAAACCGTCCCGGCCACAGAGCAGGAGCTGCCGCAGCCACAGGCCGAGACAGGTGAGCCGGGGCTCCGGACCGGCGCTGGGAGTACCGCTGAGCCGTGAGCCCATGGTGGGGGAAGGCAGCAGTGGGGCGGCTGAAGGCAGCGCTGCGGGCTCCGTGCTGCCCTGGGGTTCACTCAGTCCCAGCCTGGTCCTCGGCCAGCCGGGCCCAGCAGAGTTGGTGGCCCTGGGTTGCAACAGGGGCACCTTCCGTCTGCCCTCATATCACTGTGCTGCTCACTGTGCCCGGGTAAAATCTATGAGTGCTTTGCGCCCGTGTGCCTGCTGTAGCATCTTTTAAAGGCAGGGGTTACTTCCAGAGGAAGCTTTGGTCACCGAAGTTATGTTTTTTGTCTCTGCATTCAGGGAGGCGTTGCATCATCTACACTGGCATGAAAACGCACGTGGGAAGAGCATGCAGTGCGTGATGGGCAAATAGTTGATGTGGCCAAGGGTGTGGGAGAGGTGGGACGCAGGAGAAGCTGGGGCAGCCTGAACAGTCAGAAGCTGCTGGCAGGATGCATCCATTGCCAGGCGGTGGCCTCCTGGCTCTTGGAGCAGGTTGAAGTGACGGCTGCTGTGTGACAGCTGTGTGGCTGTGTCTGGGGGCAGCTGCTCCATTCCCTGTCAGGCATAGCTGGGATTCCTGCGGCTCGGTTGCCTGCCAGGAGCTTGTGTCCATGGGGCCTCTCCTGGGGCACTGTGCTTCACTGGGTCACCTTCTGTCAGCACCGTGCTGCTCTCGAATCTCTCGCAGCGTCATGGAGGCTGGGAGAAGTTGATCCCAGGCTGAGCTGCCAGTGCTGTGCCAGTGCTGTCCCCTGCCCTGGGGGGTGGCGTGGGGTGGTGACGCAGAGCGGGGCTGGTTGCCCCCTCTTGTTTGTTGAGAAGGTGGAAGAGTGAGCACAAGGACTGTCGTGGTCATCGTGTCTGTGCTGAGCCAGCCCCCCTGGGGCCAGGCCAGGCAAGAAGCCGGGCTTTGGAGGGCTCTGGTGCAGGGTGGGAATCTTCAGTGTCTTCCTCTGGCTTTCATCTCATGCTTTGGAGGTTAGCTGGTGTGTGGGAAGTTTGTGATGCTCAGCACAGAGGTCTCTGTGCAGGGCAGGGCTCCAGCCTCTAGCGTGCATGTGGCCTGGTCACAAGAGGCTTTGCAGTCTATTTACTGTAAACATCCCTTAACAAATTACACATGGTTTGCAAGAGCCCCCACTCCACATTTGTTTGTGGAAGTGGCTGCTGGAGAAGGAGGGGTTGTCTGTGGGGCTGATTACAGGGCGGCCTCACACAGTGCTCTCTGGTGCGTGGGGGTGGAGGAACAGAGAGGGCTGGACAGGATTTTTCTTAAGAGAGCAGAGTTGTCCTTTCTGCTTGCTCAGTACGGGGCCGGAGGCCAGCACGCTCTTGGCAGGACGCACTGCTCCTTTTTGAAGTGTTTATGGCTTCCCCCCGAGCTGAAGTGTGCTGGTTGATGCTGGCTGTCCTGGCCAGTGGCTGGAGCATCCAGCAGAGCAGCTCAGGCTCCTCTGCTGCTCTGTGTTTTGGAATAGCATGGGGTCAGCAGGGTGTTAGAAACGTCTTCTGAGCCATGGTTCTTGGGCAAGAAAAAGTGAGCCCACCTGAAGAAGAAGCTGTTGTGGGTCTTTCCTGTGTGTGTTGCTGCTCTGGGCAACGGAGAGGGGGGGTGTGGAGTACCTGACTGGCTGTGGTCTTAATTTGGGAAAGATAGAGCCCTCCTGTGGGAGATCCACGTGGGGTGGCTCCTTCCTACAGGACAGCAGGCAAGAGTCAGCACCCAGAAGTTGCTGACTTTTCCCAGAAGGGAAAAAGGAGGAAATCTGCTCCCGCCACATGGCTGCAGCTCTGCAGGCTGCGCTGGGGCGCTCAGCCCTTGGCAGGAGGCCTGGCCACGTCGCCCCTGTCTCCATGTCGCCCCTGTCTCCATGTCGCCCCT